TTTAATTGCTTAACACAGGAAACTCCAGTAACGTGTGCCAATTGCTAGGCCATTCTTAAGACAAGAGTGAAAAGAAAAGAGAACACATCTTTTAAAAGCATTTAATATTTCAGGTTATCAATGGACCACATTTTGTGTTCCATCACCCCATTTTACAGTAGGTGAGCATGGGTGCTGCGACAGTCTGTAGTCCAAAAGAAGATCCAGAAATACTGGTTAATGAGGCAACAAGAAAATCCAAAAACACGGTCAAGGGTACAAATATGGGTCTATACACAATTGGTCGAAGCAGGTAAATAAACTTAGGTCACAAGCGAATCTTGGAAGCACTCAAGGGAAAGGAAGGCTGTATTGGAGGACACACAAGAGACTCAGGGCAACAACCAGGAAGACTGAGAACAGAGAGGATGAGGCATAAAAACCATATGGATAACGACGTAAATATATATTAATTAGAGGCATGGGGCACTGATAATTGCCTATACCGTGTACAGATGATCCAGTAGCAGTTTGAGCTCGCATAGAGATACAAGTAGTTATCATAGCAGCATGAAGGTACGAAATGGAACTTACAGTACACAGGTTTAACACTAATCACTTAATCTAATACAGGGTAATGGAGGAGCTAATGTCTATCCCGGTCAGCAACAGACAACGCAGGAAACAAAAACGCACACGCACACGCACACGCACACGCACACGCACACGCACACACGAGATCCACTTTTCTGAGAAGCCAATTGATCTACCAGTACAATATGCCTTTGGACTGTGGGAGGAAAACGGAGCATCTGGAGGAAACTCACCTGAAAACAGGGAGAACATACCTGCGATAACACCACAGGTCCAGAATTCAACACAGCCCCATTGCAAGGCAGCAATGGGAAGACCTGTACCACCACCAACCTGAGTCATCTGGGGCTGAGAGACTTAGTGAGCAGACAAACGTTTGTCTAGGCTCTACAAGAGGAGTAGGGCAAACATTTGTCTGTTCAGTAGTATCTAATACCTGGTACAACACATGCAAACCACCCATCTGATACCTGGTAATAATAATTGCTTATACTTATATAGCACTTTTTCTGGACACTCCACTCAAAGCGCTTTACAGGTAATGGGGACTCCCCTCCACCCCCACCAATGTGCAGCATCTACCTGGATGATGCGACGGCAGCCATAGTGCTCACCACACATCAGCTATCAGTGGGGAGGAGAGCAGAGTAATGAAACCAAATTCATAGAGGGGGATTGTTAGGAGGCCATGAGTGATAAAGGCCAATGGGAAATTTGTCTATTTTTAATGACCACAGAGAGTCAGGACCTCGGTTTTACGTCTAATCTGAAGGACGGCGCCTGTTTTTACAGTATAGTGTCCCCGTCACTACACTAGGGCATTAGGACCCACATGAGTCTCGGGTTAGCGCCCCTTGCTGGCCCCACTAACACCTCTTCCAGCAGCAACCTTAGTTTTTCCCAGGAGGTCTCCCATCCAGGTACTGACCAGGCTCACACCTGCTGAGCTTCAGTGGGTTGCCAGTTGTGAGTTGCAGGGTGATATGGCCGCTAGCTATACAAAGCTTGCTTCCAACACTGGCCACACAAAACCAGTCAGTTTCACATTTTCCATCAGCCCTGTTTTTACTAAATGTTACATAACAGTGTGGGAATGGAAGGAGTCATGACGAACACAAGTAAATGCCGACGACTCATCCGAGGGGGTGAAGGTACCAGTGTGAGGCTAAAAAGAAAAAAAGCACACCCCTTTGCACAATGGCGTTCCAGACTTGACTGTCCCTATTTATTGTGGCCCAATCTGGGGAAAAAGAAAGACTACTTGGAACAGTGGTATCCACTCTAGACTGTCCCTGTTTAGCGGGAAGACTGGAAGAAAAGGAGCAAGGCCAAAACAAAAGAAAATTCAACCTACCCCAGCGAATCCTCGCAGCAGGACAAGAGCCTTAACCCTCCAGTCACCTCCAGTCACCTTGCTGGATGTTTCTCCTTGTGAGGGTTTGCTCATTCCTCCAGGGAGGTGTTCAGTGTGACTTAAAGGGCTCCCACAGCTGCAGCTCATCCTTAATTAGCTTGGCAGCTGTGGTAGCTAAGGCAATGCATCGCCGTTTAATCCAGAGCTCCACCTCCACACTGAACACACCCCCATAATGCCACAATATTGAATTTCTGTATCTCATATTTGTTCAAGAAATACCAGAGCACCAGTTACAAAAATATGTTCTCATTCCCTTTTTGAACACTTTTGATGCTCAGCATGCACTTGTCTCATAAGGCTACTCTCACATCTTTTTAAAATATATTAGAAAATCTGATCAGTAACTCTCAGGCCAATTCTTGAGAACATAAATAGAACATTATCATTTTAGTTAGGTTTCAGCTTTTGCAGATATGGTGATATCAGTCATCTTAAAATTAATTACATTACCGATACAGTACATACTGTATGGTAGCTATAATATTGTTACAAATGGGGGTTACGAACATGGTGAAACTCAGGAATTGACCGAGCGGTTTAGTCAATAAGTAAAATAAATATTCATAAGCCCTGACTTCTAAGCGATTTCTAGCAATATTACCCGAGCAGCAGGTATAATTAGAAGCACGCAAATTCTTTGTCCTCTGTCACAGCTTTGTTGAGGGGAGTAACAATCCAGACACACTTGGATAAACAAATATGTATTACAATGACAAAACACAAACTACACTACATACAACATAAAGTTACTTTATGTACAGTATTAACAAACAAGGTGTTTCAGAGACCTAACATTCAGGTTACCCAGGAAACCCCAGACTGCTAGAAAGCATTAAACTCTTAATATGCCTACAGAGGCCACACAAGAGATGAGCTGCCTTCTAACTAAATACAATGCAACTTACAGTTAAATCTCTCTCTCTGCTAACCGGGTGCCACAAAATAAATGGGAGCCTATATCCCCATCAGTAAAAATGCACCCTATGCAGGAAAGACGTTTCTAACTGAGGTATCTTTTACTCAGAAAACCAAAGATCCCCTGAAACACAGAATAGCATGCTCTCTCTAACAAGGTTCTAATACTTAGCTCCTGTCAGGTTTGATTAAAATGATCATGAAGTAGGGGCTCTCGTCTGATGCAAGCTTCAAGTCCCAACTCCTCCAGACTCCTCTCTCTTCTCCCATCTTCTCCTTGTTTCTTCCTTCCTCCCTCTTGTGCTTATAATGTGATCTTATACTGTGTATGTTAGTACTGCTCCTTGACAATCATTAATCCACAACTTACCTTGGTATACTAAGGTAAACAATACAATTGTTTCTGTTCAAGGGACCACCCCAGACCTCAGCAAACATCCCCTCTTCTTTGAAGTTAGATATGTTTACTCTTCAATTATCACAAATTTTATCTAAAATCAAAGAGACACTTCTCAGTCACCTAAAGTTGTAACAATATATAACAGTTACACGTATTATTTTGTTTTTAATAATAGTCTAGTATAATAAAAGGCACTGAACAGAAAAAAAGATTACAAATGACTGGAAGTCAGTCTGTCTATGTTGTTCATTTGCTTGCTAGTACCTTAACTACAGTACATTTCTTAAGTATCCCATGGTCAGCTGCAATCACGTGACTAGGAAGCATAAAGAAGTGTATTTTTTCTAACTCCTGTTCTAATCATTGAATGCAGGGCTTGCAGACCGTAGAACATGGCAACATATAAATGGAAACCATGGTGAAATTTCAAAATTGTCATTCAAATTTACCAAAGGTCTGGAGACTTGCGTAATGTGGAGTTATTAATCTTGCAAATAGTGTGACCTTGGCTGGGTACCAATAGAATGTGCTTCAGTGCTCAGGAAGAAAAGTCAGCAGGTGTTGATTTATTAAAACTTACATAAGACAGCAATTTACATTATGAAGGTTATTTATTGAGTATTGAGGTCACTAATCCTTCCCAGTATTCTAAATCCAATGTGCTCCTGTCAGGGAGGTTAAAAAGGCTCACCTCCACAGCAACGCAATTAACAACACATTCTGCCAAAGTCTTGTTGTCTTCATTACTGTCATTTGCAATTTTGACATTGCTACTATTATGATCATTACTTGTGTATTTTAGTTGGAAGTTTATGCATTTTATTTTGGTCTTAAACAAATAGTAGATTCTTTTAAGTGCTGTCAAAATACAATAAGCACAACACAAGGTACAGTCCAGTCCAGTAGGCGTAACACATGCACACATTCACACCAGGCCCAGTTTTCCCAGTAGCCAATTAACCTGCCAGTATGTCTTTAGACTGTGGGAGGAAACTGAAGCACCAGAAGTAAATCCATGCAAGCATACTGTAGGGAGAGCAAAGAAACTCCACAAAGATAGTTTTATTTTCTAAAATGTAACTTTAAATAGCTAGAGTGCTCCTGGAAACTTATATTTTTTCCAAGTTGAAATCTATTTTCATGTTTTTTTTTTCTTTATCCCCCTATAGTTCCAACATCTTTATTCTGCATCTGTAGAAAAATAAGACCATTAGTATAAAACATGTATCACAACTACAAATCATTTAAAAGACTGTAATAAACACATAATTTGTTCCATTTAAAAAAGTCTGTACACAATACAACCCAATAACCTCTCCTCGTACAGGCAACCAGACTGTAGTTTATATTTATCACCTTGTTACATACTAGAATGGAGAGAATGAAGGAGCAAACAAATGTTTTTTTTTACCCATTTGTTCCATTGATTAACGCTTCATTTTGTTAAAGTCAGCTTTATAGTCCAGGCCCTGCCAGATTCAAGCATTGTCAGAAATGAATGGGAATCAATCCCTGCAGCTTGCCCAGTGCCCATGGGTTTGCAGTGCTGTCAGTCACATCTCCCCTCCACTGGTGATGATGTTGCAGGGACCGTGAGCTCACAGTGTGAATAAGAAGCAAACACTTAAGACTGCACATTCCAAAGGAAAAAATGTATTCCGTGCTGGCATGAGATTCACCGCAGCGAAAACAAGTTCAGTCATGATTGGCAAGTTCAAATCTGGACACAGAAAGAATTTCTTGCAGTTTGATTCTGAAAAAAAAAATTAAACGATACTGAAGTGATACAATGTTATAGCCTCCAGTACAAGGAGATGTACTTTGTACTATAGGATGTACTTTACTATATTCAATCAGCTTTTTTTCCCATTTAAGGTATAAACATACAGTAGTTGACAAAAGAAGTCAAACCCAGAATCACAAGACATTCTTAACACAAGAGGATTTCTTTGCTTTTTTTAAAATGATTGTGCAGAAGCTATCCTACTTTGTGACCCAACAATGCATTATAAACAAAATGCTCCTGCTGAAAAACGAGATTTCCCTGGACAGAACGCCAGTCAGGAGGTAGGGCTCACTCACAGACATAGACAGACATCACACCACGGCCAATTTTGTGCACCACTGTGCTGCCCTGAGATTTATTTGCTCAGGAAAAAAAGGAACTGTGGATTTTATCAAGGCAAATAAATCCACACACAGAAGAACATAAAACAATCCTTATCAGTTTAATTGTGTCTCATAAATATAAACATATACTGCACTCACTAAAAAACTGCATATAACTGCACGTCTTCCTTTTATGCACAACAATGTTGGAAGAATGGCTGCAGGATATCAGGCAAATTTGTCACAGGGAAAATGTTACAAGGATGGAGGAATTGTTGCCTTGAATGAATGAACAGTTTCCTTCATTTTAATGTCCAGTCCTCAGTTAAAAATGAATAGTGCAGGAGTTAAAATACATTTACAGTTGACAATTAAAGCAAATAATAAAATAAAAATAAAAATAAAAACCTGAATTTACATTGAATATATTTTGAATGTTGTTGTTTGATAAAGTATGGTAAAAGATCAAGGGAACTGCATGAGCAGATAAAAGGATATCAAATCTCTTTTCAGAGATGTGAGGTAAAATGAAGCAGATGGCACAATATTTCAGACTAAAACATTGATGTATTCAACAACATTTAGACGAAAAATGTTAATGGGTACTTACTGCAAAACAGTGTTTCAAAAATGTGTGTGTTTTTTTTCTTCAAACACCTGCCCTCTTAGGAATTGAGAATGTTTAATGTGTGAAAGTACTATGTTGATAAGATCCCTTTTATAAATCTTTGCTAAGTACGACATGTACTGTAATAAGACATACAATGCAAAACTGCTATGAAAATACTGTACAGTAATTCTGAAGAAAAAGTGTCATATACCCCAAAAATACAATGTGTGCTGTTAATATGTATTGTAATTATAATGCAGGTGCATTATACTGTATGCAGTAAAATTGACTGTACAGTCTAAGATGTTTTATCGTTAAATTTGGTTTAAATTTTTATATTTAAAATTTTCAGATATTTGGGAAATCAATTGCACACTGTAGCACACATTGAGAAATCTGTACTATTCATTGAATTCTTATTACAAATTAGAAGAAGAGCTGTCTGAAAGAAATAGATACCGTTTTGCTTTTAATTTAGGAAGTCATAAGTGTGACTTAATGAAAGCTTCAATGTATTGTTGAAAATCTAGATCGCTGAACATATTTGAAATATCCACATACTGTATCATAGGATGTAAAAATCCTACTGTTAAGAATAACTAAAACTATATAGGATTTGTGAATACATTGTTCCTCAAAGTCAAAACTTGAATTAATTTTTAAAACTCACATACAGGGGAAGGAAAACATAAACAGAGATGATTTTATAGAACTGAGGAATACAAATGAATGAAAGAGAGGGTATAGTACAGCAAAGGCCACAGGGGCATGTGTGGTTGAGGCAATGATCATTCACCAGGAGGATAAGCACAGCTAATAGGAATTACCAGTTTGTCCATGCGGTGAATATTTCTGAGTGTCAAAAAAACTGCAAATCACCGAACGGTAATAGAAGGTGGAGCATTTTTAAAGGTTCATAAAACAGGAGGTATAGCCTGAAGAGATGCAAAAGTCAGAGAGTTAAGACTGTAACTTCAAAACATCCTAATCAAAGGATTACGATTTAGATTTTGGTGGAACCTGTGAACGTTTCCATTTTCAGAAGGGGTGGTTCTAAACCAAATGACCAGCAGGGATAATGCACAGGAATTTGTACAGCACAGTATATTTAACTTGTTGGATTGATGTGTGGGAGCATTTTAGCCAACTGGAATTAAGTGAAAACAATAATAATGATTAATAATTGCTTATACTTATATAGCACTTTTCTGGACACTAAACTCAAAGCGCTTTACAGGTAATGGGGACTCCCCTCCACCACCACCAATGTGCAGCATCCACCTAGATGATGCAACGGCAGCCATAGTGCGCCAGAACGCCCACCACACATCAGCTATCAGTGGGGAGGAGAGCAGAGTAATGAAGCCAGTTCAGAGATGGGGATTATTAGGAGGCCATGATTGATAAACGCCAATGGGAAATTTGGCCAGGATGCCGGGGTTACACTCCTACTCTTTTCGAGAAACACCCTGGGATTTTTAATGACCACAGAGAGTCAGGACCCCGGTTTTATGTCTCATCCGAAGGACGGTGCCTGTTTACAGTATAGTGTCCCCGTCACTATACTGGGGCACTAAGACCCACATGGACTGCAGGGTGAGTGGAAGAGTGTACAGCACAGAGATCTCCGAGACTCTTTATATCCAAAACACAGAAAGCCACATAAACATACGCATATGTAAATACAGACATAAGCCAATGTGTTGTTTGGGTTGAGACCAAATTTTGAGAGACTGTTAGATTAAAATAATAGAGAGAATATGAAGAGCACAAAAGTGGCAGTAATGAGGTTTCCTTCCAAGAAGTATATTCAGATATTTAAAAAGAAAACTTAGCCATACAGTATGAATCTTGGAGTCTTATTTGCTAATGAAACTGTATTAGAAACATTTTCTTGATGAATAGAAATATTGATAGTGGGATAAAAAACAACATTATAAGACATAAATTACATTTTTCACATACAGTATGTTTTGTAAAGTAATTAAATAGATTACTGTTTAAATTAGCCAAGCAAAGCAAACCAGAATGTCAAGTTTTGTCAGCATGTTCCATTTAGGGAGCAACATAATTATAAAACAGCATGTTAAGATTAAAAGGAAACACTTCACTTCTGTGAAGAGTTGGGTTGTATTCTGAAACATTATCTAAATGATGACTGAAGGAATATAAAAAAAAATAGGTTTGGTCAAAGAGAATACAAGATCTCATCTGCCCAAAGAGAGACCATATGTTTCTTTCCTATTACAGACCACACATTACTCTATAGAAAACAACTGTTGTTTCTGTAACACTAGCATAGGGAGACAGATCACAGCCTGGTCCCAAGCCTTAGCTCAAAGAAAATAATTCAAACTTAGCATAATTTTCGCAAATTGAATCACAGTGGGATGGGTATAAATATTTACCCAGGGAATGAAAGTGTGTCCAAACTAAATTTATGAAGTGCTAGAAAGAAGTCGTCCCCACTTTACATTAAAAGGCTCCAGTGTTGAGTGGCCTCTTGATAATGTAAAATAGATATGTTGAAAATAATATTAAACTGAGGCATCAGGACAGAAAATGTCTTTGTTGGATTAATCTAGCTCAGACCTACGAAATAAAAACTATTTGTATAATAGGGAGAATCATTACATCAGCATTTACAAATGAATCAGTGGCTAAGAACTGCATTCTAAGAATCTTTTCTTGCAATCAAAGAATTTAAGCAGAAACAACTCAGGTAGAGAATTATTCACAGACAGGTGCAAAATAACATTGAGTGCAGAGCTGAGTAAAGATTTTTTACAAAATGTTATGAAAAAGTACCAGGTACAAGAGATTTTCTGGTCTACATAAAATGTATAGTCTTCATATTTTCTCCACTATGAACTTCTGGAGTTATGAAGTTCCATTTGTGGAGGGAATTCAAAGTGAACAAATATTCTGTAAGTGATGGATTACTGAGGAGTTCAAACATACAAAAGTAGAATTAAAACAAAAAGATAAACTTTGTTCAGTTGCTAATGCCACTGTTTTATTTACAAATCCTGTACCAATTCACTTCACATTAAGCACACTTGTCTCCTCAAATATGTGGAGAAGGCAAAACTGATTCCATCTACCATTTTACTCTGATCTAGGTAATATAACAACGGGAAGGTTACAGTATGTCTTCCAATTCGGAAAACTAATAATCTAGTACATGATTGCTATCTGTGAGATTTATTAAATTAACAAAAAATACAAATTGAACAGCTAATATTGATAGATACAGAATAAACCAACACAGATGCCAGAAGGTTAAAATACTATTCCAAAAATGTTTGAAATTCAAGAAGAATCCAAAAGCTATTTGTAAGGGAACACTTATTCTTGTAAGCTTAATAGCTTTAAGCTATTAATTTTCTGTGCAAGCTAACAACATAGTTGGATTTCATCAAAATGACAAATATCCTGAAGTAAAATCTATTTGAGCAATTGCTCTGTATATGAGAGCAACAAAGCTGGGGAGACTTGAGATTGTTGAAATATCATCTGTGGTACAATAAATTAACAGAGGTCAGGCTAAAAAGTGCTATTACATCATGGTGGTATCAAAATTTTAAAACTTGTAAAATTGTAGCACCCCATTCTGCAAGTTAAACAAAATGGGAACTGTTTTAGTTTTTACTTTGCCAACTTGTCAAATCTTCACACTTGAGACACAATAGCTAAAAATCCAGATAACCACACAATTGTGCTATTTTTAGTTGGGACTAAACCATCCATCCATTTTCCAACTACTTTACAGGGTCATGGGGGAGCCAAGCTCATCCTGGCAAGCAAAAGGCACAAGGGAGGGTACACCCTGATCAGGACGCCAGCCCATCGCAGAGAACAGATAGACGCACAGTCACACCACTGTTTTCCCAGAAACCAATAAATCTACCAGTATGACTTTGGTAAACCAAAGCAAATAGAGGAAACCTAAACAAATATGGGAGAGCATACAAACTCCTTGCAGATAGTACCCCAGGTCTGGAAATTAACTCGGGCCTCAGCAATGCGAGGAG